TTCATTAGTTTCTCTCGTACTTTTGAATCTACTTTACAGATGGTCGGTCCCGGTCCCCTAACGAAGGAGTTCGTACCAGCATCGTGGGAAAGCACAGCGAAGGCGCAAGGTGTATCTAAAATTTGCTTTTTATTCAACCAGCTGGCAACAATTCCAATAAAATTGCACGATTTCGGCGCTGCATTGCAAGTAAAAACTTGTTTTATTCTTCTTTTGTATGATTACATGAGTTTAGGGTTAGGGATAATAACCAATGTAGGTACTAGTAATGTATTGCCATTTATTACTGATGCTTATTGCTAGTCCATCAACATAGGCAGGTATTTACTCGTTTGTTTCTTTTTATTCAAATTACTTCCTACAGATATTCTGATTTGCAGTGATTTTTTTTTGTAAGATTTTTTGTGAAAGTCCTTTTTAAAATTTAGATTTCTGATCGATAAACAGATCATCAAGTTCAAACATTTACATTATTAATACGCTATTGTATTCAAAGTCACGTCCTTTTTCTAAAAAAACTATTTTACAGCTATTTTATATTCTAACACAAGAATTTCGAGCGTGAATTATCATAATAAATAAGTGTCTGTCTGTAGGACGACGTTCAGTATTGAAATCGAATTCGTCGTCATCTCCAGATCGTTATTGTAAAAGCATTATCTGGGATCGAGAGTTCGGAACTGGAATATAAATGTTGGGGATCGCGACGGACGTTTAGAGCAATATGTCAGACGGGAACGGTCGAGGTGTCTGTCACCCGATCCTTCGCTGCAACTACTTTCCGGGCTATTCTGCAGAATGATTGACAATCCTTCTGATACCCACGTCATAGCGATCCCTCTCGCCGTAAAGTGTGACGAATGCCCAACTACTTGAATTAGATACTGATAGTGTCATTACTTGCAAACCGACGTCTCTCGATGGGGAGCGATTTATATTAATAACAAAAAAGGATTTTCGCAGGAAGTAACGACCCACTGCAAATAAGTAGGTCAAACCTTCGAGATAAAGAACTCTTATGTCATATCAAAGCTCTCCCCTGCTTTATTAAACTTTCAAAATGGAGCTACTCTGAAACTTAGAAACATGACGTACCTAACTAAGATATTTAACATCTACGACGCTCCTTCATCTTCTTGGCTTTATCCAAAAATTATTAGGGGTTGGGATCATTACCTTTGTTGACTTCTTTAACTTTCCTCTATCAGACGTCATCACATCACTCCCTTCTCTTCTATATCCTTCACTTACACAGTCGACTCGCCCATCTCTTCTATGGTCGCCCTCTACCTTTCCATCCATCCATCCACTAACAAATCAAAATTTCCTTTTTTACATTCATAACAAAATATCTAAAATCAAAATTGGTATTAATCATGTGTCAATGCAGATTACAAAGGACGCGTGCCACCCGCATACCCACAGCATTTGTCACCACACGAACACTAAAGTGTTGCCGAACTATTCACACGTTTTTTAATGGCACATAATCGATACCCTAACACTTACCAAACATGATAGCAATCGGCAATTTGTTTAATATTATATTTATTTAAGTAGAATATATGGATTTATTCATTTATCTACTGGGCAGGTCTAAATAGATACCTAATAGAAAAAATATTGCATCCGAGCAAATAGCAGCGAACTTAGTAGGTATTACCTAATTTAATTTTTATCGTAGAAGACACCGACATAGTTACAGTTAGCACCGTTCAGCAACTGTGTTATTCAATTTAGATCTATCTTGTTAGGTTTGAGGCGGCATGTTAGGTCGTGCTACGTGGTAGGTACACAGCTTTGATTTTAGGAAGTGTAGTCGAGCCGCGAGATAGGATGACGTCACGAACCGACATGAGCCATCGCATGTCGCATGCGGGTGGCGCGCGTGCCAAACCACTTTCGGTAATCGTTTCCCATCGTAATTACTCCCCTATCACTTTACAATGATTATAATACGAACATTTTGGAACAATATAAGACGGATGAAAATTTCGACAAAAATAAAATACATATTATGGTAGGTACAGTCAGCCAAGTTACTTAGTACGTAGCGCACAGGTAAATTATTTAAATTTAATACAGAGACAGTCAGTATACAAATGTAAATGTATACATCGTATACTTTATAATGGAGCTACTTATAATTATCTCTTGTAACCGCTGTTTTTTCTCACCAGAAGCAGTAACAACCACAAGAATGAGAACAAGTACCTACTTTATTACACAAGTATAAAATATAAATAAAAGGAACCGTTACAGATACAAGTTCGCAAAAGACGTTATCCCGTGATCACAACTTCCCCCTCGAACGATAAAATATACGCAGATTCTTAGGCAGCCACCCCGATATCTGCGAGGTCATCCTTGAGATCAGAACCGTTAAATAAATCCGGCTAATCGCTGTAGCACGGGATCCTCGCGCATTGTCCAGACGTTGAATACCTTCATTGTCTACAGAAGGTGCGGGAACACCCGGTGACACAACGTCGTAACCGCTGCAAACAGCGCTAAACATTTTTTATTCAAAAGCAAAGGGACTAAGAATTGAATTTTAAAGGATCTGTGCAAGAAAAGCTTGCACAAAACATACCAAGGTAGACAAGATTGATGTAACGGTCGTCGGTGGCAAGTTTGCGCACGTGCTTGGGCCGGCTGCGCCACGTCTTGGTTACAACATAAAAAGTATTGAACCATACATAAAGAAAACGGCTATGGGATTTTTTTATAGGTAATATTGACGACACTGATAATACATTTTTTTTCTTCAAATAGACCGAATAGTGTAATAAAAAAGGTTCAGCAGACCCTATAAAGATTTTGAGGAATATGTGCAATGGTAATGGTTATCTAAATATTAGTAATATTAAATGGGGAGATATAGATAGATAAGATAGGCAGGTTTTTTTTTAAGTAGGGAAATCTTCTAATAACTGCTCCCGCCTGGGTGAGGCGGGAGGGAGTGTCAGACTCTTACTGACTAAAAACCACCCCGTTCCTTCTCCTGCACGTCGAGCCGGAGCCCCGGTTACCCGTTTGGTTCTCCGCGACAAGATAGGTAGGTTATGAACGAACTTGACAGGATTTAAATAACAATAAAGCACTCAGTGTAGGCTGTATCCGAAAGTCCAAGTACAATATAGTTACATAAGTCATAAAATATTTTAATATTTTGTATACATGAGTACACAATACTATAGAATCTGTCGGTACTTGAACAAAGCTCAATATCTCGTACACATAAAAATCAAAAGGAGCATTACTCTTACTGCATCGTAAGCGAAAACGGGCCGCAACAGTACATTCAACGTCGAAAGTTATTGTATATTTTTTATACAGCCAGTAAAGTCAGTTTGCTCAATAGATGGCTCAATGATAAAGACAGTTGGAAAGGTCTGATTTCTTTGTCGGAAAGACTACACGGCATTGACAATATTTGGAGCGGAAGATTTTGTGATTTATGTTTTTGTTCGCTTATAAAATAAATATGCTTTAGAACAGTTTACTGAGTCGTGCATTTTGTCTTCGCAAAATATTGTTCATTGAATTTAGGCATGCAACAAGAAATAGTCTGTACGTTAGTCTAATACATTATGGTTGCATTGAGATACTGCATTAATCAATAGTCTTAATAACTTATATGTAAGTTATATGTAACTTTTTACTACTATCGAGGGCGCTCTCTCTCAAAGGGCTCGAGTCTTGCTTGAACGGAGTCGAAGTTCTGGCAAAATAGTTCTGAGGTGTCTTTACTATTTATCAGTAAAAACAAAGCCTTTCAAATGACCTATTTTCTGATTTGTTATAGTCACTTATTTTACTGCTCACTATTTTTATATTTGTGACTAATAATATTGTCTAAGTATTTCAAACACTAAAATGCCAAATAGTAATATTGTGGATTGATTTAGTTTTCGAACGTGGCAACACTAACCCTGTCGGGCATTTGCGCGGTTTTGTTTTTGACAGCAACAGATTAATTTTTGTAAAACAATATAAAACAAGTGAATACATATTATTTTTGAATAAGTCTGAGTTTTAATTAAACTGTCAAACACCAAGCGGTCACCGGTGACCGGTATTGTTCTATAATTGTGTCTGCAAAACCGGTACTCGACGAGTTAAGATCACCATCCTTCTAAGCGTTTTAGCTCAGAAGTGGGATTACTATAAAACATATTGTTTTGTTACGCCCACAAGTTAACATCAAATACAAAGAAACGAGGAAGTTCTGAAGAGAATCGGATTGGAGCCTAGTCGTAGACTTCGAACACTCATAACACCTAGGAGCCCCATACTATTAACAAAGGGAGTCTATCGTGATACAAGGAACAGCAATGGTATGCAATAAAACCGAAGTCGTGTCCTCACACGAACGTCGAAACCAGGATAAAAAGGCGAAAGTTTAAAACTGAAGCTGGACCAACTGTCATCGCTTTCAGAACATTAGGTCAGCCACCACTAACGGTGATTTGTTATTACACCAGAATTTAAACCTTAGCTCAGCTTAAGTCATGTCTAAAATATGTTTTTCTTTCTTTTCTAAAATATGTTTTGTTTTTGACTGCAACAGATTACTGTTTGTAAAACAATATAAAACAAGTGAATACAAATTATTTTTGAAGAAGCCTGAGTTTTAATTAAGATCACCATCCTTCTGAGCGTTTTAGATTGTATTATTTTTGTTTCACTTGAAATATTTAGACGTAAGACTATTTGTCGCTGATTGTACTTAATAAATTGTTTTAAAATAATCAGGGTATTTTTTTACATATTTCCATTATATTGAAATTATCTTTCCTTTTTTATAAAATAAACATATTGCACAAATCGAGAATATTAGTCACATTAATTGGTTTGTTCAGAAATAGAAATATAGAAAGGCCAGTAGCCGAAGTTGAACCTAATTTACGTTGATTGAAACGGGAGAAAAATGTGTATTGTAGCGGGTAGATTACGATTTTATTTTACGATCCTATTTTGTAATTGACACTGTGGGTTTCTATACAATATTTTACAAGACTTTTTTAAAGATTACCTAGGCAAGTGTGTTTATCTAATAATTTATCTACGAGTTTATTTTTAAGGTAAGTTATACTTTACGAACGACTAAAATAACATAGATTTAATAACATTTCCTATCACTTAATATTCGAAAACTCAGTCATCCAATATTGTCTTTGACTTAGATACTTACCTCTGCAAATATTTTTCCTTTCGTTGTTTTAAATATTAGGTATGCTAGTTTGTTTTTAAAAGTACATATTAACAGATACGAGGTGTCCCTGAAGTCGACGATCAAATGGCACCAGGTGATCGGCAAGGTTCCTACAGTTATCAGAAAATTATAAAAAAATCCTAGTGTTGTGAATGATGTACATCGTGTTTAGCAACACGAAGATGGCGTATCGCCTGCAAGTATTATCTAGTGCATACGAGGTTTTTAGGTGCGCTTTGGGAATACTAGAATAAATTTTAGTAAGTCCTAATAAATTGGTCGAAACGGGGTTTTAAAAAAAACTAAAAAAAAAATGTTCTTTGTGAAAAATATTTTTTGTGTCGAATATGAGAAAAAATGTTGAGAGTTACATACCATTTCCGAATCCTTATTAATTGGTCCACTTTGGTGAAATTTGTCACTACTACTGCTGTTGTGAAAATTTATTAAGAATACTTGGTTCATCGAAAAATTATATTCTTTTCTTTTCTTTTTAGTTTACAAAAGCAGGTGGTTCAGAATTTATGATTCCATAATACTGAAGAACTATTCAGGATAACGTAAGAAAAAATACAGACGAAAAAATTAAGAATTGTAGCAATAAGAGTCAAAAGACTGGCACAGGAAGTACTTTTTCGTGAAAAACACATAAGTCATTGTAATTTAAAAAATTAGGATTTTTAATATTTTTCTGATGACTGTAGGAACCTTGACGGTACCATTTGATCGTCGATTTTAGGGACATCCTGTATATTTAATGAGTTATATAGTTATTTAATCTGATTAGATAAATAAATTACTTCTATAATAACTTACTTATAAAAGCTGGTTTTGTGGGAAAAATTATAAACTAACTAAGTTATAAAATTTCTATTTCTATTTCTATTTCAATATGTACACTGTTGTGATTATATATAAATAAATAAAAAAAAATAATAATAACATTATTTTTTTCAGAATAAAAAATGACAAAAAAGAAGTCGAAGCGGAAAGGGAAGGTCGAGAAGCTGACTAAAGCACTACAAGGGTTTACTATATCAGAACCCGGAAGCAATCAATCTACATCAACAACTTCGACTGCATCATCTTCATCACACAAGAAACAAGGATCAGAAACAGCAACAGCATCGGTACCGGCAACACCATCAACATCAAAGGCAGCAGCAGCACCGGTAATAGCATCACCGGCAACACCATCAACATCAACAGCAGCGGTATCAGCATCTCCAGCAATACCATCAACATCAAAAGCAGCAACATCGGCAACGTCACCGGCAACACCATCAACATCAAAAGCATCGGTACCATCATCTCCGACAACACCGCCTACACCATCAACATTAACAGCATCGATACCGGAATCACCAGGAACCCCATCAACGTCAACAGCATCGATATCATCACCGGTAACTCCATCGGCACCGCCTTCAGAATCGCCGGGAACACCTTCCACATCAAAAGAAGCAGCACTACCACTGGCATTGGCATCACCGGCAACACCATCGTCATCAAAGGCACCGGCAAAAGCATCACCAGCAACACCATCGACATCAAAGGCACAGGCAAAAGCATCACCAGCAACACCATCGACATCAAAGGCACAGGCAAAAGCATCACCAGCAACACCGTCGACATCAAAGGCACAGACAAAAGCATCACCAGCAACACCGTCGACATCAAAGGCACCGGCAAAAGCATCACCAGCAACACCGTCCACATCAAAGGCACCGGCAAAAGCATCACCAGCAACACCATCGTCATCAAAGGCACAGGCAAAAGCATCACCAGCAACACCGTCGACATCAAAGGCACAGGCAAAAGCATCACCAGCAACACCATCGACATCAAAGGCACAGGCAAAAGCATCACCAGCAACACCGTCGACATCAAAGGCACAGGCAAAAGCATCACCAGCAACACCATCGACATCAAAGGTACCGGCAAAAGCATCACCAGCAACACCGTCCACATCAAAGGCACCGGCAAAAGCATCACCAGCAACACCGTCCACATCAAAGGCACAGGCAAAAGCATCACCAGCAACACCATCGACATCAAAATCACCGGCAGCCTCACCGGCAACCCCATCAACGTCAAAAGCTACAGCAGCCTCAACTTCAGAAGCCGCAGCAGCAGTATCACCAACACCATCAGCTTCACAATCAGGTGAAACTATTTTAGATACAAACATAAAGCCAGAAATGCTCGCAAAATGGCCAAAAGTTAAGAATAAAGTACCACCTGTCTTCCTGCATAAACCAGTTGACTTTGAACAACATGTGAAAAAAGTTTTAAACATGGGAATTAAATTCTATCAACCGAACCTCGGTAAAAACTATACCAAAATAATTTGTCAAAGCTTTAACGACCACAAACACTTGACAAAATATTTCGACAAAAAACAACTACCTTACCACACATTTGGACATCCTTCTAAAAGGAAAATGAAAGTTGTCATCAGGGGCCTGCCTAAGGAAATAGATTTGTACAAAGTCAAACATACATTGAAATCTGTTTCTCTTCCTGTCATAAGAGTCCATAAAATGAATACCAAAGAAGATAGAAAGGACAATACAATATTGGTTTTGGCAGTTGTACCTTACGATGAAAGCGGAAAAGTAATTTTGAAATTGTCTAAGCTGTTAGGACATAAGGTGACATTGGAGCCTCCATACACAAAACCAAAGCAATGTCATCGCTGTCAGAAGTGGGGTCACTCTCAAAGGTATTGCCATGGGCAAATTAAATGTGTGAAATGTGCAGGAGAACATTTGTCCAAGAAATGTGAGAGGGATCCAGAGAAAGAGCCACCTAAATGTGCGAATTGTAATGAGGATCACACTGCTAGTTATAGAGACTGTCTTTTTACCCCAGGGTCAGCAGGCTATGAACTGCTGCAGGAAATTAAAATACACAAACCTTGTTACAAGCCACTTGTACTTGTAACTCTTGATAACTATGAAACGTTGTACAAAAATGTTGAATATGGGAAAACGCCAGCCAAAAAATAATTTGTACTAGGCTTCACATAGGTAGTACAAATCTTAAAATAATATGAAGATTTAACATATACCTAAGTTCCGTATTTAATTTTTTGTATAAATATTAACCATGTTGTTGCATTTCCTTCAAGGAAGTCAAACTTTCATTTTTATATAATTTAAGTTTTTGTTCTGTAACTTTGTGGACTGATGAATAGACTAGTGAAATGGATGGCATATTTTACATGTATTTATAACCAAACAAAATAAATATTTTAAGCAGCATACCATACATTTCTGTGCAGAAATGCAACCCATTTTTATAAGAGTTATATTTCTTTTATAGACGTCGAACTTGCTACCATCCAGGTAATAGGCTTAAAATATAGAAATCAAAAAAAAAGTCTATAATGTATCGTCGACGCAAAACCTACAAGGCGATGGCGAAATCTGTATGGAATTAAATAAAATACGTGGGTTGTAAGTGTAAAAAATCTTTATAATTATCAGTTTACGTAAAAAAATATTGCATTGATTCTTTATTCGAAGTAAGTACTTAAAACTTAACATTATCGCATCTTTATTCGTCGAAGGGCCAGGCCAGCCGATCAACCCATTCAAATCTATCAATTTTATTAATCGGATTTTCGACTTTATGTCAAAACCATAAAGTTGAAAATCTAACAACGTAATTTGACAAAAAGGAGTAGGTTGATCTGCTAACGTCAGTGCAGAAGTAAACAATAATGTGTGTAACATTAACTTAGCTATACAAAATTATCGTTTAAGTACTTATATTTAGAGTTTATTATATAAACTTATGTAACTATATTTACAGCCTTATTTCGATTAATACTTAAATTATTTTTAAGATATAAAATTATTATTCTAGTCACGAACTCTTAATGCTCTGTTTAACGGTGGTATTTAAAGCTGCCGACTCTGTTTTCGTTTCGTCGATGGGCGTCACTAGCACCTGAAAATAAATAAATAATTCATGAAATTTCGTTCGAGACTTTGGAATTGTTAAAAATATTGTATCGTACTGAGACAACGTTTATTTCGCGATGGATATACATAGTAGTATTTAAAATGAGTGTATGCTCATTTTCGTCTCATGTAGTCTCATGTAGGTAATACATAGACCGTCTGGTATATTATTGACAATTTCGGAAATGGGAAAACCCAATAATGCTTTGAGAATTGAACCCGAGTCATCTTATTCAACCTCAACATCATGCCTTTTATTTACCTAAGGTATAAGTAAAAGATAAAACGATGTTCTAACATTAAGATAAACGTACTTGTAATTTGATGCTAGTAACAGGCGCCTGGGTTCCATCCAGTTCTTCCAACACTCTGTCTAAAGTATCAACGAGTCTATCAGCATCCTGTGTTGAGAACACCATGGGAGGTTTGAACTTCAGTACATTGCTGTCCGGACCATCACGGCTTATGAGAATCTTTTCTTCCCTCATCCTGTAAACAAATGTTTTATTATATAACTTTCCACCTGTTGCACTACACCTCATGACTTTCTCTATATATGAGCCTATATCTTTTTTGTAGGACAAGCCCGCCACAATTTCCAAAACCGCTACAACACCGATCTGCAGTAGGTACAGCCATGAAAACACCGGAACACTGAAGTCCGGCGCGTCTCAGGGACATGAATAACTGTCATGGTTCCCGCAATGAAATGAATTAGAAGATATTATAAAGGAGAAAAAAACGATAGTTTCCACTTCCCTTGGTGAATTACAGCAGGAGACAGAATTTAGTGAAAATACCTGTGTCTGTAACTAATGAAAGTCGCATGAAAATCTGTTCTGTTGTTTTCGAGTTATTGGCAACAAACAGATGGGAATTTTCAAACAAATATAAGTAGTGTATGCAAATTATATTCCTTACAATTTATTATTGATAGGTACTACTATCTATCTAAAAACATTTCCAGCTGACCAGAAGAGATCGTTATCGGTAAAAACTGAGTGTAACTTTTTTGTAACTTTACTGTATGTACATAAAGTATTGGATTCTTTACCTATTCACAATATGCTTAGCTTCAGCAGTAGCGGGTGTCCTTGTCTCCCTATCAGTCACCAGCTCGACTCCAACGAATAATCCTCTTCCACGAACGTCTCCAATTAAGCTGTGCTTATGTTTGAGCTGTTGACACCGGTTTATTAAGTGGTTGCCGACGCGGTTAGCTCGCTCCATTAAACGCTCTTCTTCAATCACATCCAAAACGGCATTGGCAATGGCGCAGGAGACGGGGTTGCCTCCATACTGCAATAAAAACAAGTATCTCGATTAAAATTAAAAAGAAATTATTATGTCGTTAGCGGTTGGTCGAAATATCATTGGTTTTTGAAACGTTAAATTAACAAGGAGAACGATGTCTGGTACGATATGGTCACACTCTCATGTTCATCTCTAGCTACCTCCTCGGAGATATATTAATAAGACATCAACTGTCACCAGTTTAATGAAGAGTCTATTTATACCTAACACGATTCCCTATCTACAATCTACATTCAAGCGAGATAGGTCACGTAGGACAATACGTAACTAGTTGATATCGTCTATAAATAGATCGGAAACTATATCATAATATTATCAGCTTGTTTTGCCAAGCACTTAGCACGGAGATATTAAAAACAGGTGTTGCATCACTCGATTAGCGCAGCAAACATATGTACAAGCGTAGTTTCAACGTCATGCTTAGTTGTTTGTTACTGCTAATAATAAGTAGCTTGAACAACAAAAACTTCTGTTGTTTTCGAATTATTCCACTCAATTGGAATTTTTACTCAGTCAAGACAATAAATACTTTTCCGACTTAATACCATTTGCACCAAAACATTTTGTAATCAATCTGATTTATATTCATATTCTTCCTAATTTTCAATTACCTATGAGGAAAAATATCCTAGTCAACGCAAAAAAAATACTATGAAGTCACAAAGAACAATCTTATCATTATAAAATTCATAGATCCAAAACTCGATGATTGTTTTTGAAACATCCCTATTATACGCATCAAATATTTGCACAGAATATTTACCGTATTAAAATACTCCACTCCAGTATCGGCGAAGCTTTTCGCGATCTCGGGGGTAGTAATAACAGCAGCTACTGGATGTCCATTGCCCATAGGTTTGCCCATAGTGACAATATCAGGAACGACGTCTTGTGTCTCAAATGCCCACATATGGGTACCAACACGTCCAAAACCAACTTGGACTTCATCAGCTATACATACGCCGTCAGCTTCACGAACGTGCCTGTAAAAGAAGTTATTTTATTTACTGTTAAACATTGACCATAATTTTTTTCATCAAGCCCTTTTATTTACTTAATTTTTTTTTTCATTGCTTCTTATGATACCTGGGACACAGGAGTACCCCTATATTTTTCTCGAAGCCGTTTTAGCCATTTTCGACCCCGTCTCAACTCGTCGAGTACCGTCATTATAGACACAATTGCGGTCACCGGTGACCGCTTGGTGTTTGACAGTTTAAAATGTTGTGGTAGACTTAATTGAATATCATTATTAACACATTACACATCCATATAAATATTTTTCAATCCTTCGGAAATATAAATTAGACAGAGCATTCATTTAATGGATACGGACATTATTGTAAACAATCACCCATAGGTCAATTTGTGCTAATGATCTTGCTATCTGTGTAATAGCCACTACTGCATCTAAATAGAGTACAAGGTTGTTGCAATGATTGATATCTTATTTTAGCTACAATTTACTATTGATATATGGATGCACATGGCACAAAATTGCATAAAATGGAGTTACTATATCAACAACCAAAAACATTTAGTGTTCACTTACTGGAAAACTCTTTTGAGGTAACCATCAGGTGGAATGATTTGGCCCCCGCAACTTTGAAGACTTTCCGCAATGAATGCGCAAACACCGCCATTTTTGTGCTTACTCTCTTTGCAGATCTTGCCGACTTCATCAGCGTACAGTTTTCCTAATTCTTCTTCATCTTGAGAGTCTTCGGGATATACGTATTTTCCTCTGTATATATCGGGGACTGGTGCCTAAATAGGGTCAAATAACAAATGATTAGAAATATTATCCAGTTAAAATTGATCTATGAAGTTAAGTAAGGTGTTAGGTATAGACGGTTTTCTAATTTTTGAAGATTTGTCAGTGATGATTAGAATGAAACAAATTCAATAATGCACAATCTTTAACTGAATTAATGATAAGAAAAAATATGTTTGTGTTCTTTGTTTCTAATTATAATTTTGCCAGAATTTCCAACTAAACATAATTTTAACAATATGCTTTTTAACCTAGGTAGTTAATTTAAAATAGGCAACCTACAATATCCAAAATTTCATTACGTTCAAGACCGAGTCCGTGTATGCGCGTACTGAATAAATTAACAAAGTAATTTATAATTCGTTAATGAGGTCTTTATCAATTTCAGAAAAAAACAGTTAATTAAAGTAGTATCTACCTTGGGATGCGTAATTATGATTCAGTTCACGACTCTTATCCGAAAGTCACAGGCTATTTTTATCATCTCAAATAATTCTGTACTTATCAGTTTTATTGCATAAAATGAAACTGACTTATCAATATACTTGTGTGATAAGAATATACAATGAAATAAAGGGAGAGATATCCTAAACTAATGCAACTTTGGGATCGTGTGCAACCTAGTCAATGTGTGTAACTTACCACATGAACCCACTCTGGCTTCTCGGGCCCTCCGGGTAGGTTTAATTTGTATGGAGACACATCAATCATAGACGTAAGATGGCCATGATACGCGCTGTAACAAACAGGCGCTAGTAGCACCCTAATAACACTTCGACTAGCTCGAAGTAACCACAAAACTACGAAGGAGTATCGAAAACGGACGACATAATTACCATTTAATGGTATAATTAAATACCGGAAATTTAAATGATCAACCCCATTTATTACAAAATTATTAAGGACAAGTTCACTTGTACAGTTTCCAAAGAATAGTGCTCACTTCAAGACAGCGTGCTGATGACGCGGTTACTATCTTTTACTACATTGTAGATACCGCATTATCTTAAGTAACAATATCTTATTAAGTAATAGTATAACACACATTCCGGTGTTTGTAAAGTGAACTAATCGTAAAAAGTCCTGAATAGAGCATTATCCTTTTAAAACTTTACAAGAGCAATCTTACGTTCCCAAACTAAAAGAGACTTTACCCAGAGATCAATTAAGTTCGTTTTAGAAGAATAAAAATACTTACTGGTCCAGG